TAAATGTTTTCCTTCCAATTTTTCAGGTGATTTTGTTCACAATTTCACCTAAAGATCCTGACAATTTCAAGGAAAAACATCCTTAACTGTCCTCCAAAATAATCATTTTATCGGAGAAAATTTTGCAACTCTCGAATATTAATAAGGCGTTTTTCTTGGCAAAGCAGTACACGGAATCCACGTTCTTCTCCGCTCCTTTTCATTAAAAGATCCCACGTGATTGGATCTTAAAAATACTTATATCTAAAAATTTACAGGACGGACGAAGCGCGCTATTTCAATTGGCCTGTTGCACACTTCCGCTAGAGCAAAAAGAAGAGTTATCTCTATGTGAGAATGGCCCAAAAATCACGATGAGCGTATCAGGTAAGACTGGAAAAACATTCCTACCTTCACAATCTGCGCAAATAATATGCGTTTTTTAAACTTCCCGCCTCAAAAACGACACGATGGCACAGGTGAACATTTTGTAAGAGGAGTCGTTCCATCCATCCCTTCCGCACTAGGATGCTAAGCAATATTCAAAATGACCAACCCTCCAAAACATTTGTGACGAGACGGGATTTTATCAACGTTTTTATACTACATACATTTTCCTTGCGTTTACAAAGACCATGGTGCTTCCTCAAGATTTTCGCGCTGAAACGTCAGCCGTGTTGAATATAGTGTAGCATCCTGGTGCCCAAGGGTGGGATGGAGCGACTCATCTAACCAGGGGTTGAAACCACTGCGAAACACCCCTAAAATTTTAGTGGGTATTCACACCCTTTTTCTCCTATTTTATGCCCTCGGTTTTGTTGAATTATTTTGGTTATTTTTGTGTTGTTCTTACGTGATGAAATTCTAAACATATTCAATATTTCGGGGGAATTTCAAAGCGGCGGTATCTTTTATCACACGAATCAGCAGAAAGGACGCTAGCGTCATAAAACAATAGAAACTTTATGGGATGGAAACGCAGGCGGCAGGATCAAACAAATGCACAGATGGTGGAATCACTTCAAAGGACTTTAACAACTTAATAATCGAAGCCGTGGAATGATAACAACGCACAAGGTTTGAACATGGAGTCCCGATGCATCAATTAGAGGAATAATAGGGATTGGGCAGGGGTAAAACTCAAAAATCTCCGTTAGGTCTAGAAAATCCAAAGGCTCCTAATTTTGTAAACACGTGTTAGATCTGGCTCATGAATAACCAACACCTTTTATACCCTTTTTTTTGCCACAAACCGACTCGGGCGGCCGTGGCAGGCTCTCGGAAACGCGACCGGGGGGTTCAAAAGGGCCACGGTTTTTTCTGGGACCTAAACAGGTCAAAAAAGGATTGACGCTTCGATGTCTTTATTATTATTCCTGGTCGGGTTGACAGGACCGCTATGTTTACTGCTCGCCTGGAAGCACACTGACCGCGAAAAATCAGGGATATACTGGCCCTCTGCCCTGATCTCCCTGGTGCGGTTCGTTCAAGCAGTCGAGAACGATTGAAGAAGCCATCGTAACTACGATAATTTTAGTGTATTGTTCCGATACTAGCTCAACTGTGGTAATTTCGATACCTAAATGACGGAAAACTTAGTTTCTCTGGTAGTACACAACTTTCCTTTCCTATTTTAGAAAAAAAAAAAACCCCTTTTCAGCTTTACACTGTCGAATTTCGGTGATGTCGGGAAAGACCCACCGCTGTATTTGAAAATTCCTGAAACCGATGGCCCAACTGATGCCTTTTCGATACCGCCCCGCAAGAAGTCTTTCGGTGATAAGTAAATATATGGGTAACTATCAAAAATTTGAGATCAATGTAAAGCCTTGGGCTCACTCAGATTTTTTACGTTGAGAAACATCTTGATTCTTCCGAATGGAGCCCTTTTTGAGATGACACATTTTTTTTTACGTTGATTGAAATTTTGATTCCTCTGAATAAGGCACTCGTTGAAACGACGAATAACAGTTGATCAGTTTTTAAATATTCCTACGTGGCTTTTGAAATGGAGAGATTTGATGGAGGGAAACATGGAAGACGCGCAAGCCTTCATTACTGTTATGCGAAGAGTTTTTCTCGGTAATAAAGGTTTTTTTTTACCCTTAGTTATAGTTGGTGACTCACGCCTCGTTTAGAAGGTAATCTGTCACGACGAACGGTTGATCGCGCATAGTAAATAATTCGACCACGCTAGGGTTAGGTGCCTCCAATTATGGGAGGCAGAAAATAAGCGAAACTAGTTACACCGAGAAAATTACGTCTCGGCCACGGGTCTTGAGGGGCCTTTGTAAAACTTGACCAGTTCTAGGTACTGCACCTCGATATTTCACACAATTCGTGCGATTTAATGACGTTTCTCAGAGATGGCTACAGAGCTTCGATAAAAATGTTATTGAACATCGGCGGAGGGTTCAACCCGCCGCTAGATTGCAGGTCCATGACTTACTCGTCTCGTTGCGTAAAAGGAAAATGGTTGGAAGGATGGGATGGGGTAAAAAGGTTGGGTTGGACGTGCAAATCCCTCTGGGGCTACATTGCACCTCCAATTTGATTACATTGCTGCATAATAATACCAAAGGCGACTCTTCTTAAAATGATGAAATTGTACCCCGCCCTGCTGAGTTTAAAATACCCTCGAGTTATCACTTTCAATTAATATCCTTGGTTGAGAAGATAAAGTAACCTCATGATCGTAGTAAAGAGGAACATCATGTCATGTTCCGGGAAAGAAGCGTACCTAGTTTCAGGTTAAAAATCAAAATTAGTGGAGAAAATCCCAAATAAATAAAAACGGCGGGAAAAGGGGGAAGACGGCTGACGTCCATCTAATCGCCTGGCCTTCGATTGGACGTATTTAAATCAAAACGAACCACATTCATTATGACATGAGACCTGAGATCCATAAGAATACATGCATTACAAGGCTCATATCACGATGCATGGGGCTCCTTCGGATTTAAATGCGTCCAATTCATGGATGACACGTTTCAACTCTTGAGTGCGCGATCTCAAATTACGTTTATTCTTTACGGAAGAATTTTCGTGAGCCCGTTCAGAGTTTCATCGTCACGTATTTATCAGACGCGAATTCTATCCGTATCTCGATCCGTGCCTGCTGCACCATCGAGAAAAGCGATGACAAAATCACGGCTGAAATCGCCGTAGAGGTTCTCGCCTCGGTCTCAATTGAAACCATTATTTTGACGGGCCTTGGACGAATATGAAGAAAAACAAAAAGAAAGAAAAAACATGAAGATTGGCAAGTGGCGATAAGCAGAGGATTTTTTTCGTTTTTCATTTTCTATTCCTTTGCTTCCAACCTATGCTGTCAATGCTTCGAGCATTGAAGTAGTTTTATTGAATACACACATTCACATGATCTAAAATGCAAAACTTCAGATTCATGGGTGAATTAGAACAAATTCACGATATGTTCTACATTCCAGTATCATAAAATAGGTGTAAAGCCAAGGGATTCTTCCCAATGTCTTGACTTTACTTCCAAATTTCAAGCTTTATAAAGCCGGCATACTCAATTTGTTGTGCCTTCCACATTTTTAGAGGAATCATTGAGTACTTTAATTACAGAGAGGGAAATTCTCCGAGGAGAGAAGATGAACCAGAGATAATGATTGCAGTAGCTTTTTAGGAGTCACTAGGGAGTCCGCCTTAGATTTATATCACTATCATTCTGATGAGAACTATCGGAAAGGTTATGCACTGCAAGAAAAATAATTGAGATCACAATGTCATGATGGAGAATGAAGAATTGAACTACATTTCCCGATAAGGAACTAATATTTTCTGCTGTTCTCGTATCCACGTGAAGCGGAATCAATATGATTCCAGTCTTTCTCCACATCAAGAAATTAATTAAGGTTACACGATTTTCTGTTTAAAATTAATTTCGTCACTTTACATTACCCTCTTTAACACTGGAGCCATCAGAGAATATCCCCTATTACTTCCTGTATGCCTCTCCGTTGACAGAGAATCTAACCTTAATGACAAAATAACGCGATATAAACCAACTGAGATGCATTTCCGAATATTTACTCCGCCATATCGTCCGCGGACCGTAAAACAATAGGAGACTATTCGAAGTTGGGTTCGAACCCAACATGGAACTATTTTAATTTCGCGATGGGCCGGGTTGCATACGTTCGATTTTGCGGGCGAAATCTGAGATCTGCCCTCAGTCTTCTCGATAAGACACAGGTGCAATTGGTGTTATCTTCTAGCGTGACGCATATTTCGGTCAACTATTAATTGGACGCTCCTGTCGCGCAGATTTGCAACACTATATTAACAAACTGAGGTGCTTTTCGACAGACTAACACGACAATTGAATAATGCACCGAATTTTTCTCTAAACTCTAAATTTCCTTAATTTCGACATATATTCAGGGCATTCGTTTGATTGTTTATGCCACGGTTCCTTCGGCTTCAGACGTGATCCACGCGTTACAAACGGAGGGGTAAACAGGGTGTCTAGGTTTTTTCATATGGGGAAATCATGATTTTTGACTGCTAAATCCTGATTTTATAATTTTTCCAAATCCTGATTGAATCTTGATTTTTTGCGGAGAAAAATTAATGTAATGTAACTTCAGAAAAATAGTTCAATAAGTGAATCCGATCGGAAGGTCGCCTTTTCTCAAATCCTGATTTTATGACCGATTTTTCATCAAACCCTGATGAACTCGGGATTGAATCCTGATTGAACTCAAATCCTGATAGAGTCGGGAAAATCTTGATCCTACGACACCCCGGTAAAGGAGCAATAAATCGATCTCTTCCTAGGTAATGATCAAAATTTGACCTCTGCTACACGATTTGCAAGCTATTACTAAGACGATCCGAGTGAACGCTCCTCTGTGTTTTGCGCTAGTTTTAAATTCTCAACGATCCAAAAAATCGAGAATACGGAAAGAAACACCGTCCAAAATTATTTGGCCTTCGTGCAGGGCAACGGACTCGCAAGTCAAAACACTCGAAATGAAGAGTTGGTTGAACTTACATCATAATTCGAGAATAAGCGCCTCCGCTGTGTTGATAAATCCATTTTAGCAGAGAGCAGCATCGCCGATGAATTCTTCAAACACTCAAAACACCGCCGTCATGGGCAAGACACACTTCATTCCAGGGCGCAGAAAAATCTAACACAACACTCCCAACCTTCACGTTTAGAGAAGAACAATTCAAATTTCAAAGATGGGAAATCCGGCGCTAACTAAAAATCACAAAACCGCAGCTCGCAACCTCATCACATCACCGTTTCGAGCCTGGGTGAAAACGATTCGAGTTTCGGGAACGCATCGGGGAAACACACTTCAACAGACGAGCAATTCCGACACTTTATTCCGCGGGCACGGGGCACAGAGAATAACTAAACAGGAACGTGCGTAAAAATAGGAAAGCGTAAACAAACGACGATGGCGGCGGTACGTGTGCTCACTACAGACGCCGCATTGTTACTGAATGTGCGAGTGGAAGTGGAAGGCGAGTTTCGAAACTAGCTGTCTGCGCTGAGTCTGAACTCGGCGGCCGCGGCGCAGAGTAACGGCGGTCGGGGAAGGGGGAGATCCCGCAGGAACCGGGGGAGATCTCGAGATACATGCGATCGGTGGCGCTAGGGTCGCGCGGTGGCGTTTCGCCACATCACTGCCCCGCGGTGAGGCTTATACGTGCCGCTCTCGCCGCCGAGCTTGAGCCACGCGTTCTTATCTCCTGATAGTACGTCAGTCAAAGGCGCCCCTCGTTGTATTTAACTTTTTTGCGCTGAGAAAAAGTTCCCCGGAATTTAGGCCGACGGGTTTCGGTGGGCGAGACTCAGGTAACTGCTCGACCCCCCCGCCCGAGAGTTTCGGGATCCATTGGGGAAATGTTTATACCCTTCTTCGCCGCCCCTTTCATCCCTTACGGCTTCGACCCAAAACACTTCGTTTTAGTAGCTAATCCTCCTTGCACAAAGGTTCTTATTTGGAATTTTTAGCATTCGCCTTTGGTCTCGTGTACGTGCAGCGTGGATATCCCTGGGGCACGAAAAGTTGCATCAAGGCGTTTGGTCTGTCAGCTGGTGATTGAATATGATACACTTTGATCCTCGGAGAGGACTTTCGAAGCGCCTTCAATATCGTATGTATGCAGCGCGGACATCCCTCGAGCACGAATAGTTGCATCAAGGCGTTAGTTAAATTGCGTCGCGTCTGTCAGCTCGTGACTGAATATGATACACGTTGCTCCTCGGAAAACACATTCGTAGCGCCTTCAATATCGTATGTATGCAGCGCGGACATCCCTCGAGCACGAATAGTTGCATCAAGGCGCCGCGTTGGGTCTGTCAGCTCCAGACTGAAATTAGTACACGTTGCTTTGAGAGAAGGCATTCAAACCGCCTGAAATTTTGTGAGTATGCAGCGCGCATATCCCTTGAGCACGATTAGTTGTATCAACGTCGCATCCGTCAGCTGGTGGCTGGTTGTAACCTTGAACGATTAGAATGAACGTGTATACTGGACATCGAACTTCTAAAGTTTTTGGTCATAACAACCGGAGTTAGGTTTCCGCGACCAAAAGCTTTAGTTCCTCGAACCGAGGAAGTTCGGTATTCATCATAAATCATCTGTAATCGAAATTTTGTACTCATTGCAGATTACCATAATAGGCCTGGTGCAAACTTCAGCGAGAGCAAAAAGAAAAGTTTTTTTCTGACAAAAAATCGCTTAAAAATCACGATGATGGATATTGCGTAGCATCCTGGTGCGTAAGGGTTGGATGGAACGACTCAACTCCTCCTACGAAAAGTTGACCTGTGTCGTGGTATCGTTTTAAAGCGGGAGGCTTAAAAAAACGCATATTTCTTACGCAGATTGTGAAGTTAGGAGTGTATTTTAGACATACCCGGAGCGCTCATCGTGATTTTTGAGCCATTTTCTGTCAGAAGTAACTTTTCTGTTTGCTCTAACTAAAATTTGCAACAGATCCATTCCAAGCAACTAGATTTAGTGCATTTCTCCTCTCATGTTAGTCATGTATAGCCCGACGTAATACCTCGCACTGCGCCTAACTTCCTCGTCATCCAAGTTCGAGCGATATCGATTTGAAACATAATGAACGACTCTCGATACGCGCCGCAGAGAACTCGCTCTAAAAGACTTCGCAGTCACAGTCGAGCGATTGAAAATGAGCATGGCGTCTTATGACAACGTTGTTGCGTTTATGAGCGGCGCAAAACGCATTCGCAGTGACTCACCTTGTAGGAAAATAGTCCGGCTGCGAACACCAACTAGGAGAGACCACAACAGCGCGACCAATCGCTGATTTGCGAAGGACTGCGGACAACAGCGTCGCCAAGTTTGAAAAACTGAGAGAAATATCTCCGATCAGAACTCAAAAAGCACGATGGGATAGGGAACATGTTGCTGTTACAGGATGTCTAGTTTTTCTCATTTGGGGAAATACTGATTTTTCCGGATTTTTTGACTGCTAAATCCTGATTTCATAATTTTTCCAAATCTAATCCTGATTATTTGCGGAGAAAAATCAAAATGTCTGCATAAGCGTATGCGAAAAAGCAGTCCGATCGGACGGCCGACTTTTCCCAAATTCTGATTTTACGACCGATTTTTCCTCAAATCCTGATGAAATTGGAATTAAATCCTGATCAACCTCAAATCCTGATAGAATTGGGAAAATCCTGATGCTAGACACCTTGTGTTACGTGATTTAATGAAATTGCTGGGAAATAATTTGTCGCTAACTGTGAGACGTTCCTCTGACAAGAGAAACTAATGCGTATACACATACACACTGGGCAAAAAAAGAAAAAAAAACAAAAAAAAAAAAACACATGGGATCTAGAGTTCAGACTCTTGAAAACATTGACAAGAAAAAAGACTCTTGATTCAATCAGATTTAAGCTTAAATCAAAAGGAAATCTGCTCAAATTAAGATGCTTGGTTCTTGATTTAAGCATAAATCTGATTGAATCAAGAGTATTTTTTCTTGTCGATGTTTTTAAGAGTCTGGACGCTCGATCCAATGTGTTTTTTTTTCAAGTGCATATGTACTGAGAACGAAACCTTGGTGGATCGTCCGATTTTCCCGGTAGATAGGTATAATTACATCAATTGTACAAAATTATACGGATTCGTTTGTGGTTTGATTCTTGTTGAATTTCGACCTTTCTTGCGACCAAAAATTTAGGAACACCCCGCATTATTGCGTATTTTCAGAAGTAAATACACTAATTTTCATTTCACGACTTCCTCCTTGCACTTACAGTAGACCAAAGCTGATGGCCTAAGAACCCTGATCCCCTACAGGTTTAACCGTGGATAGGATTTATTCTACGCTCGGAATAGGGTTATAAGTTCTTTTCAAGACCGCCAAGTGGCTCCGTTTGACAACACAGCCACGCTTTAAAGCATGACTGACTGGAAGCGACGCTTGTTCGATGCATGTTCGTAACCTTCTTAAATATTAATTTTTGCCGAATCGCCACGGTCCCACCCGGGAGGAGTGGAGGGGGGGGGGGGGAGGGTCGTATTTCAAAATGCTCTCTTTTGTGCGCGAGCGACTCGAAAGACGCTCCGCGCTCTCGATAATCGGCATGAATATGGAGTTATTGAAAAGAAAATTACCAAACGATGATCTCTCTCTCTCTCAATTCTCTTTTAACTTTTCCCTGCAAAGCCTTTCTGTCTTGTCGGACGAGCTTCGCAGTGTTTCCATGCAGGTATGCAAGTCCAATTTCTTCGATGTAATTTTAGAATGCATGCCCTGGGCTGGGCCCGTGTCCGTGAAGTTAGCACCCCGACTTATAAAATTTTAAATTTTCTCTTTTGCTCATCATTGCTCATCATTTGCTCGCCTCGAAAATCGCTTTTTGAATCGCAACTGCTGAGAGCGAAATGACGAGAACTTAAGTTTAGGGCACAAGCTGTGCAAAGTAATAAAAACAGACCTCTTCAATGGATGCTGAAGGTCAGTACACGCGAGAAGCATCTTCTGTCGCAGTCTAAAAGTGAGTAAACTTATTTGACGTGGACTCTAGCATTATTCAAACGCTCAGCTTTGAAGAAACCGAATGAACGAGGCCAAGACGCTACGAGCAACTATTACTACTCCGAAGCCACTCACATTGCCTAGCGAGGTATTGAAGGCGAACTGATCCCCACGAGTGAGAAACATTATGAGGGAAGCATTAAGCCGCTAATGAAGAAACGGAGTGATGGTGGCCGTTTAGTATTTTTTTTTTTTTTTTGGGGGGGGGGGGGTGAGTCAGGTGGGTCGGAAAAAGAATGAACCACCATTCATCGAGGTTTACTGTTTAAATGAAGAAAAAGCCTCAACGCAGGAATTGATTCGATTACAGTGCTGTTGTTATAATTTAGATGCAAACGGCATTCCAGCAAAACCAGATTTCCTTACCAACCAGGCCACGGTGGCTGATTTGAGGATCTTGAGAACTCATTAGGCCTTGTTAACATACCCCCACGTTCGAACTACCTTCTGGGTGGGAAGTAAGCCCGAGTTATGCTTTTACTCGGCAGGGGAAAAAAATTGATCCCAAAGTCCAGCTGATGTGTTGCAAACGAGCCAATCAGGACAATCTAGATCACAGCATCTTGACCAATGCCGCATGATTTCTTGGTGTCCGCGCCCATTAGGTCCAAATTCTGGCAGGTCGAACAACACTCTAAACTCGCGGGACACTCGCGGCAGATACGCTGTTCTTGGACTGACCACCGGAGTCGTTCAATTAACTTCATTGGCATTCGTCGCGGTAATCGGTCCTTCAATCAAGTTCCTCTGTCGTCGAAGATTTTTCTCCCCGGTCGATCGGAATATCTCCCCAGCATTTCAAATAAGGGCCACTTTAGCAACATGGGATAATTCGTGTGGATGTAAATTTATTTCCAGATTCGCTCCACGCCTAAATTACAAATTAAACTGAGGGGTTCGATGCGTGAACGTGGGAAGTGACACTATTGCCGTTCTGAGGTGGAGACGAAAGGCTACGTGGGACCGAACGGCTTTAAATAAATTTTACGGGGTGTCAAATGAATGAAATTTAAGTTCTGATATTCCATCTCTTTTAAGGATTACCACGGAATCAACTCAACATGGAATAATCGATTGCAAAATGAAATAAATGTTATAACATGATCTTGAACTCTACACCACATCCTTTTCGTTTGGTCTCATTGCACACTGAGAAAAAGCTATGGCTTAAACCAATAGTGGTTCATATGGAACACCACTGATAGTAGTAAAAGCGACATGAAATATAATAGCACATTTATACCTTATCGATAGTATATGTATATATCTTAGTATGGTTCACAGACCGAGAATCATTAGTTCACTTACATACTTACAACACTATTAGTAGTGTTCCATATGAACCACTAATTGGTTTATAAAGCCATACATTTTTTCCGTGTAATGAACTAAAAAACGAATGTCTTGCGCACAATAAAACTGACGAATCGCT